CTACATGGCAGAACTCATCGAACTGTGTCACAGTGGATGGGGAACATCGGTGCACAGCCAGTTTTAGATCTCGCCATAGATTTTCTATTGGATTGAGGTCTGGAAACTGGCTGGGCCACACCAAAAACTGTGATTTACTTGCTAGCAAACTAAGCTTTAATGCTTTTTGTCACATGCTTGGGGGTTGTTATTTTGTTGAAACTTGAAATTGCGACCCAAGCGCAGAGTCCTAACAGACTTCAGCAGGTTTTCCTCCAATATTTCTTGGTACTTTACACTGTCCATGACACCTTGGATGGTTACCAGCACTCCAGGCCCTGCAACGGAAAAACAACACCAAAGCATTATCGAGTCATCACAATGATTTACAGGGGGGCCGGTGTGATGAGGTTGGTGAACAGTGCCTTTTTCCCGCCAAATGTAGCGTTTCGTATTTTTTCCAACTCGACTTTGGTCTCATCTGACCACAACATCTTTCGACACATGGTCATGGAATCATTGATGTGACTTTTGGTAAAGTTTAGCCCAGCTTACTTGTGCATAGGCTTCAGAAGGGGCTTTTTTTTCTAGCTACCTTCCCTTGCAGGCCAGACCGGTGCAATACTCTGGAAATTGTAGATGCATGGACGTCTGTCCCAGTACAGGAAACTGAAGCTTTCAAGTCTTCAAGTGTTGCACTAGGGTTGGAGTTTGCCTCCCGGAACAGTTTTGATTTTGCTCTTCTGGTAATTTTGCCCGGTCTCCTGGATCTTGGTAGGTTAGTAGTGGTTTTGTGCACTAACCACTTCTTAACTAAAGTTTTAACAGTGCATAGGGGCAATTCTAAGGTTTCTACAATCTTTTTATAGTCATTATTTTCATTGTACTTTTGAATAATAAGGTTTTTAAGTTCCTGAGACAGAGGGTTGTCCATTTTCTTTCCCAAATCGGACACCTTGTGTTTACAGTCAGAATCCAAAGACCGACATACCAAGAAACCATGTGGTGGATAATTTTGAAGGCAGTTAAATCACCTTATATAGCGAAATAATAGACTGGCCAAGTTTGTTTGTTATGGTAGAACGCATATGTCATTTTTGATTGTTCTGGATTGAATACATCAATGATAAACTACGTGATAACAGTATAATATCTGGGGTGGGTGTAGATTTTTGCAAAGTCATTTTCTGTAAGTAATATGATTTTAAGAATCAGTGTGAAATGTTTAAAATGTAATTTTCATATCAAAGGACAGTGTGATGGATCTGCTTATTATTTAACAATCATTCGAATTGAGAAAATGTGTTTTCCCCTGTTAAATTATACAAAATATATAAATTTTCAAAGGTGGTGTAGACTTTTGCAAGCTACTGAATGTCTAAAGATATAAGAATGTTTTTTCTTCCAAACACGGTCAGAAAATTGTGGGAATGTTCATAATCTGGGTTTTTTATGTACAGTGCATTGCAAAAGTTTACACCCACTTGAAAACTGAATGTATTTTGTTTATTTTGATAGGAACAATTAATATTTTAAACTCCAATATTTTTTTTAAATAAGGAGATCTATCACACTTTTATTTAATACCCAAAATACATTTGAAAAAATTTAAAACTGATTCTTAAACAAAGAATCAGTGTGAAATTATTAAAATGTAATTTTTATATCAAAAGAAAGTGTGATGGATCTGATTATTATTTAACAATCATTGAAATTGAAAAAATGTGTTGTTCCCTGTTGTATCATGCAAAATATATCAATTTTCATAGGGGGTGTAGACTTTTGCAAGCCACTGTATATATATATATATATATATATATATATATATATATATATATATATATATATATATATATATATGTCACACCACAAACTCGCTTTCACGACGCTTGACACTACATTTTAATGAAAACTCTAACATTTTTAGGCATTTAAAACAACATGCCTGCCCGCACACACAATTCCGTAAAATACTTGTCGAAAACACAACTATACTTCGACATGAAAACAATAGACAAAAACTAAAAATACTTGAAGCATTTTTATCAAACAGTTAAAACCCAACCTAAACAAAATCAACTATGGAATCTCTACAAATATTCTTAAATGTCTATAATTTCTATAATTGGTAACAGAAGCCATTGGTTTATACCAACGGCTTTCCTTATTTCATTCTCCAATTCACTCTCGTGTAGTCATGTGTGACGTCATGAGATGCGGTGCGATTTTCGCTTCTAGCGTCTTATATGCGCGTGTTCATCGTTGCTTAGTGATCCACTATGTAAACTAAACAATGACAGACTATCATCACTGTCGTGTCCGTATATTGTTTGATATGTTTGTAATTACATCTTTGATAATGGCTTGAGTAAGCCGAAAGCTTAGATTATATTAAAAAATAATGGATAAATATTGTGAATTTCTTTTTTCGGTTAATGATAATGTTATCAAACACTTGTCTATATTATTTAATGAAACGTGTATAAATATATATATATATATATATATGTGTGTGTGTGTGTGTGTGTGTGTGTGTATGCGTATATGTAAATTTATGTTTTATAATACATATATTTCTCATAAGTATAGTATCTTTTTTTTTATTATTATCATTAGTATTTTCTAATTATGAATATATGATGACGATGATCCTGTTTTTGGTAACTTTATTTGACACATTGTTGTAATTCTGTTATAAATTTAGTTTTTCTATCGCTTTACCTTCCCTTATCCGTCATATTAACTGGTTTTTTCTGCTCTTTTTCATAATATAAGCCCCCAAAGAAATCTCTTTCAGATCATTTAGGTCAATTTATTTTTTGGCGCTTTTAATCTTTTATATATATATATATATATATATATATATATATATATATATATATATATATATATATATTGTCGTTATATGAAGCCAAAATTAAAATAAGACTGCCGTCTCATTTGAACCGATATATTTACTAAAATTACGCAAAAATATCTTGAATATACGAAAGAGTAAATTTATTCAATAAAATCGCCGTTGACTTTCACCACGGTCCCCAGATGACTTCAGAATCTCCTGCATCTCTTCTGGACGGTCTCCTAATATCTCGCTATACGTTAATAAAGATATTAAAAAAAAAAAAGAAAGACACGCACACACATCATCGAAGTTTTAAAATTTGGTTTGATCAATTACTTCTTTCAATGGTATTCACTCAAAAACTGAATCTTTGTACAAATAAATTATCCACGCAAACCTTTCAGCTCTACGAAGAAACCCCTTAGGTAAAACAATTATTCAAGCGACAGATTAGAGTGGATAAAAAAATAGAAAATCTTAAGAAGATGTTTAAAAATGAGATGGATTGGACAACGTAGAAATCAAATTGAACCTCAGGTGTTTAGTAAACAATTAACAAATTAGCGTCTTTCACTTCAGCCATGATTTGAAGCTCTCAGCAGGATCTTTGTTTTTCTCTGTTGAAGTTTAATATCATAGCTGAATCTTAAACTTAACTGTTTACTCAGTCGACAAAAGTAAAGCGATCATTTGTCCACAGATTTTCCTCTCGATCGTCTCTTATTTAAAGATTCCAGCCAGCAAATCTGAGAGGATGAGAATGAATATGACAATCATTCACGAAAGAGAAAAAAAAAACTGACAAAAGACAGTTGCGGTTATTAAATTCGAAATTGTTTACTTGAGTTAACCGTCAATCGGAGACTACCAGAGCGGAGAGTATAACCTTGCCTGGAGATAATTCTAACACCTGCAAGTTTACTCGGGGCTTTTATCAAAATCTTTCACCATATCGTGCAGGTGCCTATACAATACTGAGCGTAATGATGGCTATATGAGGTTTCATATATTTGTAGCCAAGTATCCCATTGGTGACATATTGCTCTTTCATTCCACATCAACAATTGACCACAAAGAATAAAAGAATTTAGTTGAAGGTGATCACTGGTAACAGTGCAAGGTAATTATATTTTTACCACGCACATCAATGGTATGTGTCCAAAACAGTTCAACAAAATCAAAAATTGTTTTTTCACTGAAAATTATTGATGATATTAATGGTATTGTACAAAGAAAAAATAATAAATAAAGCCTATTACGCAATATTTCAGGCTCAATTTATATTTATATTTCATAACCAATCAATTAGATGAGGTAATATAGACCGTAGATTTGTCTGCGGAATATTAAATTTATTATAATGAAATCATTAAGGTTTTTTTGTTAAAAGTATTTTATTTTTGATTGTATATTATTTTAAAATATTCCTTTTTACAGGCTTTATAATTGAAATGAAATAAGATCATTTTATATTTCAGAATTTCGCAACAAAGAAAAAGAGAGTTAACAAAGTATAAACGAAATAGCTCCAGTTTGTTAATCGTAGGAAACTTAGCATTGCTGCCAAAGTATTTTAAATGCTACCAATAACAAAGGAGAAAATGAAAAATACCCAACAAATATCGAATATCAAAAAATTTACATTGTTTTTATTTTTATGTAACGAAATAGATAATTGTCAACAATGTTTCCGTAATAAATATCATATACTATTATAATATGAAATAATACTTATTTTTACTCTCAGAAAAATACCTAACAATGTTTCCGTAAAAAATATTATTTCTTTTAATATTCTACTTGGCTAACCATAGAAAGAAACGTTAATCAAAACTGCTTAAGATCTTTAAGCGCGTATTGACGCAAAATTATCAAATGCTGAATACCCCCTTCCTCCACCGAACACGTCATATATTGTATGAAACGATATACCAGTTCGTATTGGACAGTGAGATTCAGACTGAGTGTCATGATGATTATATGAGACTTCATATATTTGTAGTCTAGAATTTCATTGGTGACATATTTATCTCATTCAGCAATAACAATAATAATAATTGTCCCGAACGAATAAAAGAACTGCGTTGAAGTTGATCACAGGTAACAGTGCAAGCGATTATATTTTTGTTTGCTTCTGTTTATTTTGTTTCAAGGCATATCAACCTTAATGGTTTATCGAATGCCGGCAAGATTTTTATTGCTGCTAATATATTCTATCTATCTATCTATCTATCTATCTATCTATCTATCTATCTATCTTGGTCTCTTCATGTCTGTCTGTCTCTCTAGGTCTTTTCATATGTATGTATGTATGTTTCTATCTATCTATCTATCTATCTATCTATCTATCTATCTATCTATCTATCTATCTCAGTATATATTGGTTTGGTTTGTTTTATTTTACGGTATACCAACCTCAATGGATTATTTAATGCCGACAAGATTTTTATGGCTGGTAATATTTTTATCTGTCTCTCTATCTCTCTATCTTGGTCTCCTCATGTCTATCTGTCTCTCTTGGTCTCTTCATATCTATCTATCTATCTATCTATCTATCTATCTATCTATCTATCTATCTTGGTCTCTTCATGTCTATCTGTCTCTCTTGGTCTCTTCATATCTATCTATCTATCTATCTATCTATCTATCTATCTATCTATCTATCTATCTTGGTCTCTTCATGTCTATCTATCTATCTATCTATCTATCTATCTATCTATCTATCTTGGTCTCTTCATGTCTGTCTGTCTCTCTTGGTCTCTTCATATCTATCTATCTATCTATCTATCTATCTTGGTCTCTTCATGTCTGTCTGTCTCTCTTGGTCTCTTCATATCTATCTATCTATCTATCTATCTATCTATCTATCTATCTATCTATCTATCTTGGTCTCTTCATGTCTATCTGTCTCTCTTGGTCTCTTCATATCTATCTATCTATCTATCTATCTATCTATCTATCTATCTATCTATCTATCTATCTATCTATCTCAGTATATATTGGTTTGATTTGTATTCTTTTACTGTATACGAAACTCAATGGATTATTTAATGCCGACATGATTTTTATTGCTGGTAATTTTTTTCTAAAAATATATTTCTGGTAATATATTTTTCCCCTTTAAACTCTATTGCTGGTAATAATTATTTATAAAAACATATTTCTGGTAATATTTTTCCATCAAAAATATATTGCTGTTAATAATGTATTGCTGGTAAGAATTGTTCCACAAAAAAAATTATTGCTGGTACTAAAACCCACCTTTACACTTTCATACTGTTTTGGCCCCAGTTTGGGGGTTAACTATTTGTCCATAGTTGGGACCCTAACAGGTGTTACCACCCAGGGTCAGAGTGGACATACATACTCCTCAAAACCTCTTGATTAGAGGCCTTGCTGTTGGATGTAGTTTATCGTCATAACAGGGACGCGATTATATTTTTACCACGCAAACCAGTGGTATGTGTCCAGAACAATATATTCTATCGAACGAAATAACATTTCGCACTGGTCTTTGAGATTGAAACATATCTCTTATTTCTATGCTGAAGACCTGATCTGTACCTGTCAGCTATGTGTCATGCGCGATACACGTATAGGCGATCATGTATCTTTCGATACCTGACTGACGAGGTAGATTTTTTTCCCGCAGTAGGTTTCCATTTCTTTCTGCGGTACACCAGTTGCCATCCAAGGCTATAGAACCTGGTCTGTCCTGCTATTTACCCATAGCTCGGGAGGAGAAGAGGATTCATACCTTTCACAAGAGTATTTGCGCGTAAGTGAATATCAGTCACTTATGTGTCATGCGTGATACACGCTTAGGCGATTATGTATCTTTCCGCACATGACTAATGAGGCAGATTTTTCCCGCAGTAAGTTGCCATTTCTTTCCCGCGATATGTCCTGCTACTTACCCACAGCACGTAAGTGAGTGCAATAGATTCGACTGGAATCCTCAACCCGAGCCATTATCTATTACTCCACCGTGTACCGAGCGTAATAACTCTTAGAAAATGAGACATGAAATTACTACTGGGAATCGCCATAACTTCCTGAGAAAGATGAGGTGTTTTCTCATTCACATCTTAAAAATCAAAAGTCTTAATTCAATGACAGAAAAACTTGAGAAAACTTAAATTCGACAACACTGTGACCTGTTGGCTCAATTCCCGGGTGAAGCTTAAGATACAAAAAAAGATTATTATTGAATGCCTTCTCTCGAATATTACACTATTTGTAAAAGAGCTACTCTCATATACAAGATGTTTTACTGTGATAAGGGCTTTTTAATGACTTATCCTTTCAAGGTCTGATTGATCTTGGTTCTACATAGATTCCTCCACTTGAACTTCTATGAATTTCAATGAATTCAGGTTAGGCCTTCTTCAAGACTAGCTACCAACCAAGGCCAGAGTGTCAAGTTTATCATCATTAATTTTATTTGAGTTCTTCCAACCTGATAATCGTATAAACTGTTACAGTTTTTCAATTTTTTTTTAATATGTTTACAACAGTAAAGAGTGAAAGAAGCGATCCACGTTTTTCTTTTTGGCATATCCGAATTCACAGCAACAATAATCTTGTATTTGTAGCTATTTTTTAAAATTTAATCTGTATAACCGTAAAAGCCACAAGGGGTTACAGGTTGTGGAAGAATTAGGAACAGACACATTAAGAATGAACAGACAGAGAAAAGAGCAATCAGGTGGACAGTAAATAGCGATTGACATTGCATTAAATAATTTGCAGATTAATGATGTCTGGCAAGCATTGAGCTAGAAGGAAGCTCCATGAGCGAAAAGTGTGATTATTATTATTGAAGCGGTGGTTAACAGTCTGGATTATCTCTAGTTTCAAATGCCCTTCATAAACATTTGTACAGGGTGAGATAAATGTCGCGCACAGTAGGGATAATTTATTAAAAGTATAATTACACATTTGATTTACTAGTTATTTAATAGTTATATGCGCTGTTCAAACTGTCAAACTTAAATTAACTTTTGTATCTACAGAATTCATTAACACATCGGAGAATCTCCTTTGTCATTTTACTGCATTCATACTTAATTCTTTCTTTAAGTTCTCAATATTTCTTTAAATTTCCTTCACCTTACTTTGTCAAAATGGTTTCTGCAGAACAAGAAAATACTAGACATTTAAAATATGATTAATTAATTAATTAATCCCAATGGTTCACGACTTTTACTTCACCTTGTATATCCGGGATATATATGCAAATTCATACAGCAGAAGAAATGACCATACTAGCAGAAAGAAATATATACCTAATATGCATTTCAGTTATAATAATTTATATACAGATGTGCCATACACATGCAAGAAAACACACACACACACACACCCACACACACACACACACACACACATATATATATATATATATATATATATATATATATATATATATCACTATTTTTCTGACGGGAGAAACATTAACACATACCAATAATACAAGTAGTGTGGAAGAGCGAATACCGAAAGGATCTTACTTGTAATATTTCCTGAAGTAAAAACAACCAGGCTGGTCGTAGTTTATAATAATTTATATACAGATACAGATTCCATGTGATTTCTATTCGTTCTCTATATTGCCGCAGCCTACTCACAACTAGGGTTTGTCATCCCACTAGCAGACCTTATTCACTAGCCGTCATGTCATATACGTGAATTCGTCCCACCAAAAGGGAGTTAACTGCCCTCTTCCTCCTTACTGTATTTTATAGATTTTATATTTCTTTGGTTGGCCGCGGAATAACGAAATTCTAGAAAACCGAACCCGCGGATAAAGACGCCCGTTATGAGACGCTGATTTAATTTCCATTTGTAGTGAGAAGCCATATACTTCTTAAGAATTAAAAATAATGATTGCTACTTTCTTATAAGTAACAGCAAAATTGTCCAAATCATGTAACAGCAACATTCTACGAGAATAGTATAACACAACTGGGCTCTACTTTAAGCCAAATAGAATGTATAATTAATCTCCAAGGTTAACAGAATAATCTTCTTGAAATCGATCATATACGAAAATGACATATTCATCATTAATTAATCATGGATAATGATTAGAAGTTCATGAAGGATTGAAATAAAGTTCAAATATATATTACTCCAGGGTAATTTTCCAACTTATTCAAGATGATCTTCGCCATCTTTAACCTTTTTACATTCTATCCTAGAGTAACAAGGTGTCTCACACGTTTCACATACGATTTCATTGTCTTTTTATCATTGCCCTTTGAACTGTCATAGCTGAAAATCCTCTCTCACGTGTCGAACATCATATGGATTGAGTTGGATCTTTTCTAATTGATCTCTTTAGCTTGTGACCTCCTGATTCAGTTTTCTTTTCTATTGTTCCCACTTTTTTTAAAAATTATTCACCATCCTCTTCATGCTTCTTGAATGAACTTTGAAGACAGAAGTCAGAGTATGAATGAAGTGAAGTCTTGAATTGGATATTTCCTCTCAGCATTGCTCATTTGAGAAGAATGTCGGGCTGACAGTAAACGATTTTAACCTATTCGCTTTCTCGCTGAATAATTTTGAGGGTTTTTTAAGTAATTCTTACGACAAATGATATCAAGATGGATAAATGTCTTATCTAAAAACCTGGCAAAAAGAAACTCAATTATCAGGTCATCCCATAAGTTCTGTCCGGATTTTACCTTTTTTTAAAATGAACGAAATTTAAAGTGTATTTTATAATGTCTAATGGGGCTGAACATTAGGTTTAGATGCATTTAAACTGATCAAATTTTATTTCAGAGAACAATAAAATCAAAATTATGTTTGATTAAAACTCTGCTAACATGGAAGTACCCAAGAATCATTTGAGGCACATAATGCTTTATGGGGTCAAGAAGGGAATCTCAGCAGCCGAAGCGGCTAGAAACATTCACTCTCCATAGAGAGGAATGTGTGAATGAAAGAACTTGCAGAAGATGGTTTTCAAAATTCAGAGGTGGAGATTTCACCCTTGAAGATGAAGATCGAACCGGACGTCCAGTTGAATTTGATGAAAAACTTCTTGAAGCAGCCCTTGAAGAAAATCCTGCTTTATCAGTTGAGGAATTGGCAGTGGTTCTCAGTTCAAACCATACAAATGTTCATCGTCATCTTCAACAACTTGGAAAAGTTCCCAAACTTGTTAAATGGGTGTCTCATGAATTGTCTGAAAACAACCTCAAATCCCGAGTTGACATCTGCTCTTCTCTCCATTCTCACCAACTTGTTTCACCTTTTTTGGATAGACTTGTGACTGGCGACGAAAAATGGATCTTTTATCGAAATATTAAGCGTCGTAGACAGTGGCTTGGTAAAGGGGAAAGACCCCAGCCACAGCCGAGAAGGGAACTTCATGGGCAAAAGGTTCTTCTTTCAATCTGGTGGGATCGCTAAGGAATAATCCACTTTGAATTCGTACCACCTAATGTAACAATTAATGCTCAAATATAATGTCAGGAATTAGAGCGTTTGAACCAAGCTTTGAGGAAAAAAGACCTGCTCTAGTGAATCGAAAAGAGATGATGTTTCATCAGGACAATGCACGAGCCAACCCAGCAAGAATCACGTCGCAAAAGATCGAAGAACTGGGTTTGGAGAAAATTGCTCATTCACATTATTCTCCCGATCTTGCTCTTTCAGACTACCATTTGTTTCGTAGTTTACAGAATCATTTGGAAGAAAAAGCTTTTGTAACACAGGAAGAGGTTCAAACTGACATTTGTGAGTTCTTCGAAACAAAGCCAAAAGAATTTTACAGTAATGGAATTAGTAAGCTTGTTAATAGATGGAAGGAAGTCATAGATAATCAGGGAAAATACATTGTTGATTGAATCTGTAATTAAATGTAACATTTGGTCACTTGTTTTCTTCATTCAAAATTCAGACAGAACTTATGGGATGACCTGATAGTTTAGTGTTTTTTTATTTATTTATTTTTTTTTAGATATTAAACATTTTGTC